TGAGGTCATTTCAGGTCAAGTTAGGTCAAGGTCAATTATATGTGTTTGTATGTCTGTGTGTGTCTGTGTGTATACTGATGTGTGCACCGATTGTTTTTGGGTCCATATTACATGAAATCATGATCTGAGAAGCTTTTACCAAAAATGCAGTCAAAAAACTTCAAAAAAGTAAATTCAGCTTGCCTAAAACGCAATTATCTTAGGTGACCTAGGTTGACCTTGACCCTGACCTTGACCCCTGTACATCGTCGAACAACATGTTCCATGATAGGTAGGAGGTAAGACTGGCAAAAAAGGCCGAAATCAGGGTGTCAAAAGCTCATAAGGCCCATGGCAAACGCAAGATGTTGAGAATTGGCCATTTGGGTCATGACATGACCTGAAAAACAAGGTCATATCTCCGAAACCAAAAATCACAGAAACTTGAAATTTTCAGTGGACATCAAGAAAGGATAGAGGAGCAGCTATACGAAAAATCAGCCTTCTAGCTCTAAAAATGTGGAGTGCAGAGCAGAAAGACTACCTGGGGGGGGGGGTGGCAACCACCCCCCCCCCCCCATGTGCGGGCGAGGGTTAATGACGTTGTTGATTTCCACCACACTGATGGGATCATCCAAAATTGGCATGTATGTACTCGTTTCAGGCACTCTCAGCTCTGTGTCAAGTGATGTAGGGTTTAAGAGAGCCTCGAAATGGCGGCGGAACACTTCATCGCTTGGTTTACTTTTATCGTTATCTCGGAACTCGATCTTTCCTTTCCAGTTTATCGAATTCCAAATCGCCTTTGCATCATTCTTTTTCAGCAGAAACTGCCAGCGAGATTGAGCATATTGGGTCATCCCACCTGACTCATTGTGAGCGCGCTGGTCACTTCGTTTAGCGGTCAAGCAGGCGCTATACAGTGTGTCTGTCAGCCTCTCACAGACCCTATCTACCGACTACCGTCATCGGCTGGTCTGCTTCGGTGTCGTGCAGCTGTCGCCGCCAAAGAGCGGGGTCCGGGAGATCTGCACTGAAACCTTCTCCGCTGATGGAGTTAATTGGCACCGCTTTACGCGCTACACCGTGTCCTCTCCGTTCCCGATGTGTGTAACAGAGCTGCTCTCTCTAGCGTGGCGTCTGGGGACGGAGGAGGACGCCATAACCTCACGGACAAAGCGGCGTGGTCAGAGTCTCAGAAAGGGCGCTCTCTGGTCCACGACAAAGTTTTCGATCAGATGCATGAGCGACGGTGAGACAAGTAGCCAATCCAATTGCGAGATCCATTTTTCTCGCTTCCTGAACGTTAGATTTCCATTACAACGTTAGATTTCCATTAAAACACTTTCGTCTATGCCTTAAATGATTAACCCGCGCCCTGCTGGGGGGGGGGTGTTTGAACACCCCCCCCCCCCCTTGTGGTTTTTCGCGAATATCTCAAAAACGGCGGCGCGGAGCGCCGCCGTTTTTTGGTACACCTTATCATACATCAATTCTACACATGTTGTAAAAATTTCAGACCAAGGTCATCCAAGGTCAGGTCACCAGGTCACTTGAAGTGACCTCACCTCATAAAAAGTTTCAATGTCTGTCATAGCTACACCGAGTGACCGATCGCTTTGAAACTTTCAGCGATTGCTAAGAGCAATAGCATGTACAAAATGTATATCTCAGAATTTTGATATCGATGACCTAAGGTCAGGTCAATTTTGCGACCTCCCCATTATAAGTCAATGGGAGAAAATTGAAATGCGCCTCTTTTGGACGAAAGACATTATAAACACTCCCAAACACTGAATTACAAGTGGTTTAGACACACTGAACATGAAAATGGTGTCAGTGACCCCTGTGTATGCCCTGAGGTCATCTTAGGTCACGAATATTATCTAACAGTTTTTCGCAAATAACTTTTGATAGAGGCATGCTAGAGCGATGAAAACGCCTTAGATGTGTTCAGCTCGACGATACGGATCGACTGATATGCAACATGACCCTTTCCGGTCAGGTCATGACCTTGACCTGAGGTCAAATTTTCAAGTTGACCTTTCAAGGTCAAGTTATAGTTCATTCGATGCGTCTTGACGAGAGGAACACGATGCCGGTAAAAGTAAGCTCGTACAAGGTTTGGGTCAAAAGTTATTGCAGAAAAACTGTTTCTGAAAAAATCGGCTATTTTTGCAGTTTTTGCCCCCAGCAGGCAAAACCGTTGACGTTAGGTCAAATCTGAGACAATTACTCAGAAAGGGCGTTAATAGGGCTATCGAATGCGCTTTTTCGCGGCGCTGTAGCTCTATTGGTTCCCGAGTTATGCGTTGGCTTCTTGGAAATTGTCGACATTCGACCTGGAAATCGGCGAAATTTTGCCTTCAATGACCTCTGGTGACCTGACCTTTGACCTGACCAAAAAATTGACTGAAGTGATTTCCTCATTATTTTTGACGCTCTTTCGAACGCCGCCTTCCGCGTATCGCTACGTGGCCCAGGAGCCGAGTTAGAAGGGGGGGGGTGTTCAAACACCCCCCCCCCCCCCAGCAGGGCGTGGAAATCCAGGACCCCCAGCCGGGCGCGGGTTAACAGGGTAAATATCTAAATTCGAACACATGTTTAGCAGTTCGCGACCATGGGCGTTTTCCCCTAGATCAACATTTTGAGAATACGAAATATCTTTTGCGATATCATCTAGCTTGCACAGCGATGGCATTCTACTATTGAAATCACCAATGGCTATTATACTACATTTACTGTCTAATATTTGATTCTGAACGTCAGCGAAAGACGCAGACCTTGCTATGCACATTACCATCTGCATAGCAAGGTAAAGCCGCCTGAGTTCGTTCATTCTAGGTTTTTTCACTTCATAGTTGGCACTAATTAATCTTGCTGTTGTAAGTTATAATTCAATATTCATCCCAATACATCAATAGACAATATGCAATCATCGGCAAACATTTTCTGGCTTGATACTGTTCAGCGTGCTCTTCAGTATTGATCTCCTGCAATATTACAGCTTGTTTTCGGCCAATAAGCTTGGCCAATAAGCTCTTTTAATTTTACTTTTCTTGCTGATAAGTGAGCCAGACCAACTTGCGTTTATCAACCAACATTTCCTGACTTCAACTTGATCTTGCTCAGGACTCAGGACCTCCTTAGCCACCTGGATACTTGGGATTGTTTTCAGTTAACATGCTTCTTTAATATGATATAAGTCCATCACAAGAGATTCAAAACATCCAACAAAACGACGTACACGAGTACGAAAACCACCGGATGAATTTGAAAAAGGCCTTGGAACAGAGCCAAGTGGTGCTACATCTGTTTGTTTATAATAGTTGTAGTGCTGATACATTGTTTTAGGACTCTAACGGTCGGCATAAAAAATTGAAACATTTTTACAAAATTTGTAAGGCAGGTACTATTTTTCTGAAAGAACTAAAATATTCAAAAGCCAAACACTATGAAATACAGGAGTCTGAACGAAAAAGTAACCAAAAAATCTAGCCTAATCACTGGTTCCTAAAACTGCAACAAAATCAGCACTTATCCCCGCAACTCGTTGTCCAGACGTAAATATACTGAAATTTGTGCTCAAAACTCGCGTGCAATAAAAAGGTGAAGAAAAATCACGGTAATTAATTGGCTGCAGTGACGAGAAAACCCAACAAAAAAATGAAAAAATCGTCTTTTGTCATGGTCCGTAGAAATTTCGGTATTCATTTACTGGCGAATCCAGGGGGGGGGGCAACCGGGCTAAAGTAAGGACTAGGGGCGGCCAAAACATGATTTCGGGCCCCTTTCCAAATCGAATTCGCCCATTTAAAATACCTATCCACTGGACCGTAATTAAAAAAAATGACAACATGCATTCAAGATAAGTTAATAAGAGCTCATTTACGCTCCTCATTTAGCCAAGCATCTCAAAAGTGGAAAATTTTGTCGTTGATAACCTTCTGAGACCTGACCTTTTGGTCGGCTTTCGCCCCTCCCTTTGCAAACGGCCAGATCCACCAGTGTATTCATTTTGTGTCCTCGAAAAAGTCCTCTGATAACTCACACTTAACCCTCGCATGTGTAGGGGGGGGGGGTCGGATGGACCCCCCCCCATGGTTTTTCGCGAATAACTCGCGTAAAAAGCGGCCGATCGCGACGAAACTTTCAGTACCCTCGCATTGATCAATTTGACACCTACCCTGAAAATTTCATGACCCTGACCCAAATGACCTTTGACCTGTGACCTCTTTTCCGAGACCATGTTTGGCCGGAATCGCGATTTCGCGTATGTCGGCCCGCACTAGCCGCGTGTTTGCAAGCTTTTCGTGGTTTCAAACGTTCAAACATGTGATTTGATGTTACTCCCGTGTGTGTCAAGGTCACCTGAAGGTCGGGTCAGGTCATTGACCTTTGGTGACCTCGGGTGACCTTGGGTCACTTTTTCGAGTTTTACATGTTTCTAGGCTAGTTTTTGGAGCTGAATTCGAATTTAGCAACCGTTTGAACATTTACGAAGTAGGTTTGGTGACTTCGTAACATGTTACGAAGCTGTCAGAGGCGGTTGACACGTACTACGAATACCCGTCACGACGCCTACTGGTTGACCTGACCTGACCTGACCCGACCTGGTCTAAATGCTTAAAGACATGATCTGTGATCAAAACTAACACGATATTCGTGATCAGCACCCCGAAAAACCCCTTAGCAGCCACACTTTACGACTTTCTAACAGGTCCCGATTTTCCCGACTTTGGGTCATTGACCTGACCTGGAAGGTCAACCAATGACCTAGGACCTTAAAATTAGGTATCATCGGCTTCCTCTCGTCACGGGCAACACGCTCGTTTTTTCCGCGAAGCTCTAGCTCGATCAGGGGCCAAACGGCAAGGGGGGGGTCCAACCGACCCCCCCCCCCCTACACATTAGAAGCTGGCAAACGCCGCACACATGCGAGGGTTAAGCCGAATGGTCAAAAGCAAACAAAAAAGGTGTAGCGACCAGAAAGAAGGAGTGCGCCGTCGGGGAGCTCTCACCTGTAGTGGTGGATGTGTTTTATATTGACTCCTGGGTGGTAGAAGGTAATGAGGCCAGCCGCGTGCCACGTGGAGCCGGCGGTCAGTTCCGTCTTCTCCAGCAGGAGCACGTCTTTTTGGCCCTGTGGATCGCATACAGCTTAGTCAGCTTTTTGGTCCTGTGGATCGCATACAGCTTAGTCAGCTTTTCGTCCTGGATCGCATACAGCTTAGTCAGCAAAAAGAAGGTCAGACACGCACGGCAACGAATCAAATCGAATCTAATGAACGACTCTAAATGTCAATAAATATAATGATTGTTCCTGCGCCCTGCTGAGGGATGTTTGAAGCTCCCCACCCCACCCCGCCCCACCCCTGTATGCATGACGCGAGATATTTTTAGGTGGTGGCGCTATTTCGAATCAATAATGCATTTTAAGGATTTGAACATTTATAAATGTCCACATAAGGAGTGGTTATTACGGAGCGAGCGAAGCGAGCGTAGTCTTTCCTTAGATTAACGGAAATTTCTGACGTAGTTATAAATGTTGTTGTTCAGCTGGGACAAAGTTAATGTATAAAACGTTGTTTTGACACCAGCTTTATTATTTTAACGGAAGCTTTCAAGAGCACTTTGGCTCCCTTCTTCAGCCAAGTCACACAACAAACACAAAAAAAAAACAGTAATACAAAACATCGAGGCATCGTTCGGTTCGAGGTCAAAATCGTGGCGTGAATCAAATGTGGCGCACTGATTATTTGAACTATACGATTTTGACCTCGAACCGAACGATACCTCGATGTTTTGTATTACTGTTTTTAGTGTTTGTTGTGTGACTTCACTGAAAACAATTCAACCCGCGTACAGCGAGTAAAACCCGCTGCTGGCGGGTACACCTACCCACCACCTAATTTGACACTCTACCAGCGGGTGCGTTTACCCGCATACCGCAGGCTGTGAACCCGAGTATATTGTGTACCTAACCCGCATAGGATGGGGACTCAACCCACACACAGAAGGCAACCTACCCGTTCGCAGCGGGTACACAATCCGCACATGGCGTATTACCTGCGCTGCGTGGGTTGGGAACTCGCTTTCTGCGAGTACAAATATCCGCTGGTAGGGTGTCCAAATCAGCTGGAGGGTAAAGTACCCTCCAGTGGCGGCGTTCAAGGAGGAAAACGCCGCCATCGCCGGGATTCGAACCCGATATCTTTGACATTACAAACCGATGCGCTACCAACTGCGCCACAGGCGACCTGACGCAAAGCGACTGAAATGTCGGTGTATATCAGATTAAAATGAAGAACTGACGGCGGACTCAATACAGAAAGTAAAAAGGCTTATCTTAGACAATTGACATGAATCCGCCTATAGTGTTTTAAATATTAAGGAATAGTTTGGACAAATATTTCATTTGCATCGGGAAAAAATTATTTATCCAGGCTTTATTTTTACCAATAAAATGTGCTAAGAACGGTCTGCAAACTTCACCACAATGCGCCAGATTCGCGGACTGCAGAATATTCTGCTGAGCGTTCCAGCGAAATATTCTGCCGGCCAAGACGTGACGTCATCCAAACAATGATTCAAATGTCCCAAGCCCGTTAAGTACCCTCCTAACTCACAGAACGCAGCCCCACAGCTGTTACAGTTACGATTACAATTGCCTTGCACATCTCTACCCCTGCACAAGGCCTGCACAAGCACGCAGCCGAGCCGAAAAGCGACTATTGTGGCGCGTCACGTTTCAACACTCGTTTGAGCGTCGAAGTCAAAAGTATTAATTTCAAAACCAATGCCGTGCATCAGTGGGATATCTGCCATGACACATGCGTGATCAAGGCAACCTGCGTATAGCATGTCACCTACCTTGGCGCAGCGAGTTACACGATGCAAAACCTGCGTGATGCGCTTACTCCGTGGGCGCGAGTAACGCCTGCGGCCACAACCCGCTGCGGACGAGTGATTGACCCCGCCAGAGGAGGTTTCATGTATCCGCGCATGACGGGTTGCTGTTTTACCCGAGTATAGCGGGTGTTGACACCCGTGAAGCGGGTGAAAGCTACGATGATAACGGGATGCTCTGCGAAACGCGGGAAGCTAAACGGGTAGTCAGCCTACCCGGCAGCAAAAACTCGCGCAGAGCGGGTAATTTCTTCAAAATACCCGCGATACCCGGGCCAACTCGCAATCCGCGGGTTGAATTGTTTTCAGTGTTGACTGAAGAAGGGAGCCGAAGTGCTCTTGAAAGCTTCCGTTAAAATAATAAAGCTGGTGTCAAAACAACGTTTTATATGTACATACACGGAAATTTCTGAGTATGAGCGGCCGGCCGGCCGGCCGTGCGGACGCTTTTGCGAGGCTTATATCTCAGCAACCACTTGACCGATTTACATGCGGTAATTTTTGTAGGGTAGCTTCATTCCAATCCAATAGTCCAATACCAAGTATTGGACTATTCCCGATGCATTTGGGTGACCCCTTATGCACGTGCCAACTGCCACGTGCAAAACAAAGAGGTGTCAATTTGTCATTGTTGCAATATCTCGGTAACTACTTGGCCGATTGCGCTGAAAGTTGGCATGTAGATAGGCACCCAATAGGCACTGCATATCCATGTGCCAGACTTGGGGTGCTGCTGCACGTGCGCACGTGCAGGGGTCGTTTCCAGATCTCAAGAACGGCTCGACCGATTGCGCTCAAATTTGGTACACAGTTGGGGACCGGTAAGTAGGGTGCCGTGCACAAGTCTGTTGGGACCCATTTTGCACGTGTGCACGTGCAGGGTGCCGCTTCCAGATCTCGAGAACGGCTGGGCCGATTATGCCCAAATTTGGCACATCGCTAGAGACCGGTTAGTAGGGTGCCGTGCACAAGTCAGTGGGAGGTACCCCTCGCAATTTTGCACGTGCAAGGCCCACCCTCTCGCTCGCTCCGTTAGTCGCCCAAAAGGCGTTATACTGGTAGGCTAGGTTGAATTGGGTTAAGTTAGGCGAAGTAAGGTGGTTAGGACCAGGTCAGACCGTAAGGCCTGGTCAGGTTGATTTTAATCTTTCATTCTAATTTGACATAGATACCTATTACCTATGTTTTTCTCCAGCCTGAATTTCATTAGGTAATGAGTTGATTTTGCTTTGTTTTTATCTGTCTTGTTTTGTGTTTTTGTCCCTTATATTTTGCCCCATAGGCAAGGGTGGAGCTTTTCCAGGGAATGTGGTGGAGCATGATTGGAGGCGCTCCGTTAGTCGCCCCAAAAGGCGTTATACTGGTTTGCTAATATCTTTGGAATATTTATTGTGTTAACCCGCGCCCTACTGGGGGGAGGGGCTATTCATAGCCTCCCTCCCGTTTTTCTGCAATAACTTCCGAACGGCTTGACATATCGACGCCAAACTTTCAGTACCTTCGGCTGCATCAATTTGACAAATTGTGTCAAAATATGAACTTCGTAGCTACCATAGGTAGGCCGAAAATGACGTCAGAGTGACGTCATGTTCGGCGGATTTCGACGCAAAACATTGAACCACGGGAATCGCTCCCAAGAGCTCAGCGTTTAAGCTAAATCTAATTTATTTGCATGAGATGACTTAGAATAGACTGCGCTATCAAACTGCTATCTCGGATTTTCGAAATTTGGAAAATTTTGAAAATAATATTAAATAAAATTCAAAATTATATTTTTTCAAAAAGTTTTTGACTTTTTCGAAATAAAAACGGAATAAATGTGATAGGACGCATGCTTAGGACTAACTCTAGAAAGCTTTAGCTGAATATCTTCAAAAATGGCCAAGTTATACGCATAATTGCAAAAAAATCACAATTATTTATTTTTTAAATCAATTTTTAAGTACGTATTTGACATTGTACACCAATATAAATAGCACCAATATGTTCCTGAGCTCAAACTGCACCTAATAGACACCTTTTTGTTGAAAAATTTGAACTTAAAAATTTGACCTTTTTAACGTGAAAGTGACCTGACCTAAGCTAAATTCGACTCAAAATGACCTCAAATGACACAGACGACATCAAATTCGAAATCTATGGCCTAAATGGACCATAAAACATGTGTCACGTGGCCGATGCATGATACACTATTTCCGTGACCTGTGATGACCTGACCCTGACCTGAAAATCAAAGTACAAGTTTGGTACCCTCAGGGTATCTAGAGCATCTGTTCACGAGTGTGTAAACAAAAAATGAGCCTGATCTGACTTGTAAGACGGCGGCCAAAGCCCAAAATTTGAACAAGCCAAAATGCTAATAATTTTATTTTGACCTGACCTGTGACGTCATCGGTGACCTCGAGGTCAATGAAATTAGGTTTCGCTCGACCGTTTTTCCGGGGCTATCAGTCGCCGTTTGAATTTTGACGATCGGCCCAGTAGTTTCGGAGTTAGGATGGGCTATGAAGAGCCCCCCCCCCCAAGAAGGACGTGTTATACGCAGACCTCAGTGGGGCGCGGGTTAAAAAAAATCAATTGCGTAGGGGTAAGACTTAAGCGCCTTTTTTCGCTAAGCTTTTAGATAAGTATCGGATTTTAGAACATCGGAAAAGAAAAAGGCATTGGGAGAAATGAAGCGGCACACCTATATGATCAAGCGTGTTGATCAGGCAGTTCAGGACTGGTGAAGAAAAACGACTAGACCATTCAAACCATGCCAACTAAGCTCTAATGCGATGATGAAGCGGGCTGTTGAAACCCAATCGGAGTCAGAGACAGATTCGGAGTCGGCCAGAATCGATCGTTGAGACCAGAGTAGGAGTCAGAGCCGATTTGGAAGCCGAAGGTCAGGTCAATATTGAGGTCACCAGAGGACATAAATCAAGTCGCAAAACCTGAGGATGATTTTAACCCGCGCGCCGACCGGGGTCCGCGCAAACTCCGTTCCGACGGGCCCCTGAGATCTCGAAAACGAAGCAAGATAGCGACAAGCGGTAAACGGCATGGGGTACACACAACAAGGTCTACAATTATGGGGTAGTGTGGGGTATTTTTGAACGTATTTTAGTCTTCTGTGACTGCGTCGTACCAAATTCCAGCTCAACCCTGGTTGAAGAAAAACTGTTTCAGTAGCGCAAGTGTCACTTGCCTTCACCATGCAAGCCTCATTTTTGGACGAGCCGAGCATACCTT